GTGGAAATAAGGATTAACAATAATAGGTTGCGTTTCTTTAGTTGGGCTCACCAATGTAGAACTATGGTCTACTATGATATTAGTACTGCTCTAATAATAGACCTAATCCTAAATTTGTAGATTTGTCATGATAAAACTGCCTAATCTATAAGATCTTACGTGGAAGTCACACCATCGACTACACCAACTCACTGTATCATATCAATTACCAATACATGGTGTAGAACAAGGTTAGGCTAGAGGAAGAACAATATATTTAATATGAATAGAAGATATAAGGTAACACTCAGCAGAGACCACGCCTGCATGGCCGAGCCATGCCACTCGATCAACTTCAGTCCATTCAATTCATTGTTCGCGCCTTCTCCATTGTTAGGTATTTCTCCGCGTTAAATATTGAATATCTATTTTCTGAGTAGTCTCGTGTTCACAGCTTTGTGGATTGTGTGGCTATTGTCCAATGCCGCTACAAATCTCACGGGACAATGCGCCCAAAACCACATTGTTTGCCTGAGAAATATGTTGTGTTCTTGAAGTAGACTGCTCAGTGTAGTCCATTTGTCTAGAATCTCGAGGGGAGTGCCTGTATGGGGATGAGCATACGGAGAAGCGAAGAGGTTTGTTATCGGTGAGAAGAGTGAATTCCTATCATCTTACAGAGTGGTCAAAGTGCCGCACAGTACAATACATGACTAGGAGTTCCCTAACAAAATTGCTATAACTTCATTCGTTGTCTTGCAACCGTCTTGAGAAGAGTTGCCAGATGTGATTAACCTTTGTTTTAAGAATCCTTCGACTACCGAGTCGGATGTGTCTGCTGCGATACTACTGGTTGCTTCCGTGTCCTGGTGTGCGAGCAATGTTGCTTTGGCGATACGTTCCTTAACTGTGGGGAATCCTTTTTGAGCAATGTCGTACAAATTGATGGGCTCCTCATTTTCACGAAGTTGGTCGGTTTTAAGTCTGATGAGAGACGCGCGATTCGGTATGAATCGTCGACAGAAACTTACTAGGCCGTTGAACGTACATACTTGTTTGACTGTGGTTGGTTCTGTAAATCCGAAATGGCCACCACTTAGCTCTTCAGAGTGCGGATACCGTAAGCATCAATAGTGTATCAGAGAAAACCCAGAAAACTGACTCAAAACAAAATTCTCAGTGAAAAGTCTCTTATAGCGTGCACTCACTCATTAAGTATACGGAATATTTGGGACTAAAAACTTATGCGATACAAATTTATTGTCACGTTTCCTATCATAGTAAACGCAACAGTGGTTTACGCAAGGAATAACCCTATTTAAGTAATACCAGGAATTTATATCAAGAGTAAGCAACCTTGTCTAACACCGGTCTGCTATTGGAACGCGTGTCAGCTGTCCTTCATGCAAGTCTCTGTGCTGCAGTCCGTCGTATGAACTCCAAATCATGTTTATGGTCTTGCCAATTATACCATAGTGCCGAGGAAGGTTTCATGAAGTTATCCTGTCCACGCTATCAAATGCCTTCTCATAGTCATGTAAGGTGATGTAAAGTGGTGTGTTTCATTGGATTGGCCGTTTAACAACGGTCTGTATTGACGCGCTTTGGTTTGTGCGCGACCGATCCTCGCTGAATTCAGCCTGTTGGTTTCAAGGTTTGGCGTCTACGGTTCTTTCTTCCATTAGGTTCATCACCACTGTTTTTGAGTTTAAGGGATTGGTTTTCTTTCTTTTTCCTTAAATAGTTTCTTTGGTTAACTATGTTTTGGCACTATTCTACGATCAGCTGCAGCCTCGTGAAACTAATCTTCATTGCTATCACTTGCTATCATTGGTGGATGCATAGCATGTATAAAGATGACTGTGATATCTCCCTCTTGGTTTTGAAGGATTCATTGACAATTCTAGACCCATGAGATTTCTATATTACAAGTGCTCTTCGTAGACCTATGAACAAAAACAGCGTGATTCTTTGTGTATGGGGCAACTGCTTCTTCTTGACCAGTGGAGCATAAAGTTCAGAAATGGAAGGGGACTTAAAAATAGTTTTTGAAAGCTTTCTGCATGAAAATCTCTCCAACTATACACCGTAACTTGTTCCTCTTGGTTCCTTCAAATGTATATTTTGCTAATCATCTGACTCCGTGTTCGTAGAAGGTAATGAAGGAGGTCTCACGGACGTCGTCAGCAGACATGGAAATTTGGTTATGTGCTGCAACCGGATCAATTTTTCAGAAAACACATTTGTACCTTTTAAGATAGCTGTCCGGTGGTGAATGTGTAGCAACGGGTAATGATCAGGGGTGGTTTTCGTATTCAGTCACTGATAATCTGCAGTTGGACGACAACTATTACTGTCCTTTTTAGGAAGCATGTGCAAGGAGATGCTCCTGGGCTGTTCGATGGTCAGATAATCCCCAAGTCTACTATGTACTGGAATTTGTTTTTGGCCAACATTAGCTATTTCGAAACTAGTCGACGCACTTCCGCAAATACAATTATTCCTGTAGTCATGTTGTGGTGTGCAACATTGCTGGTTACACATGGCAGTTTTGGTCACGTTTTGCACAGATTGAGGTACTTGTCGAGTATCCGTTGATTGTATGGATCGATTATGCGCTTGGCAGTAACAGAGGACAATCTGTAATTAAAAAATGAAGTTACATGAACACATAAATTAGTGTTTCCATCTACTAATCTATGTTTGGGCATGTCAATAGATAGAGTATGGTGTTGTACCAGGCCCACACCGGTGATTAGCATAGAAACACATGCAATAACGAAGATCAAGCGGATGGATTTTTTTAAACTCACACTAAGATGATTATATAGCTTGTCACATGAAGTAGTCGGTTTTCCATTAGGTGACAGTTGGTTGAAAACCGGTCCACTCAGTCGGTAGTTAGGATTTTCAGGGCCCGTTGATCAATGACCTCTCGCATACGTAGCAGCATATATGTTGTTGAATTATGTTGCAGCTCGATATTGTGGAAAGGGTGGTCTAACATTTGTCTCTCGGTTAAGTTTCCACGTTTAAGAATAGCATCCTTCAAAGTTTCGTAAAATTCCGAAACACCACTAGTAAGCTAATTAGGTGTGACGCACCTGTTAAAATCACGCGGTAGTGTCTTCGTCACTGGGAGGAATTGTGCACGTGGGCCTGTCACGCCATGCTCGCCGAAATCAGCTTCTGCGTCGAGGAGTCGGGCTTCCATATTGTCGGACCACAATGGCATGAATTAAAGCGTTGGAGCGGAATAGTCCTTATCCTAAAAAGCTTAGGTGTCCATTCGTCATAATCAAGGTATAATATACCGATGGGAGAGAAACAAATAAACAAGAATTTGAAAACAATATCACAATATGTAAGAATGAGATAAAAAAAGAAATGTAATGTTTCAACAAGGCATGAATTCATGGTTTACTATTTGATGTACCGAACCACGTCCAACTCACCACCAAAGATGCCAAGTGTATTCGGAGTTTGACAACGCCTTTACGCGGAACATCTTTATGATCGAAGTATGTTAAATGTGTCAAATCAGAAGTCAGAAATGAAGGGGTTCGAAGATACATTTGGTAGACTATCGATTTATCGAGAAGCGTTTGGTCTGAGTTGGCAGACAGTCGAAATTGATACGTAGCACAGTATAACCACTCGTGCTCACCACCTGTTTTTAATAAGCCGAATGCTTGTACACAGTACTCGAGTTCAGGACGATCAAATACTATGTGCAAAGTTTAAATGTCTTAACATTTGATTCAGTAATGGCTCTACGTATTAACCAGAGGGTTATAAAATCTCTGGCAGCTATTACACGGCGGTTTGCAGTTGCTTGGTGATGCACTCAAATGGTTCAAATGGTTGTGGACGGAATAGAAGGAGATTTCGCCCAACTGGGTTCCGAGCATAGTATCAGTGGATCACCAGCACCTCAAGGCAGAAACACAGGCGTATTAACTAGATACAATAATACCCAGAAACAAAAGAAATTGATGACCAAAAATTGCGAACACTGCAAATGGTTAGAACCAAAAGTTTCAGCAAATACAATAGAAACAAAGTACTCAAAAGTACCGACGACAAATTACTTTAGAAAGAACGATAATCTTAAAGAATACTTTAACTGAAATAAATTCAATTCAAGTGTAAACAGTAGTCTTGATACATAATAAACGATCAAAACAATAAAATTTACTCGAAGAGGAAATATACCACTGTCCTCTTTAAATAGAGCTATTTGCAAGCGGTTATAGAATATTTAGACAAGGAATATCCTAGGTAGTACCGGAAGTACGAGGCGATATACAACTTATTAGTGATTCGGATTGGAAGCCTGACCTTGTTCATTATTAAAGAAACTGGCTTTATAACTGTTGAAGATTTGTTCACAATAATCTCCTGTCTCTTCACTTGCCTGTTGTGAGTGTGCGTTTTCTACAATACAACCAAACTGTACTCATCTTGCATGTCAAAATTTGTTAAGCGCCTTCTGAAGGTCATGCGAAACGAGTAGGGTTTGTTACCATCTGCTGTCTAAACCATTCACATGTATCGACCAAAAGCTCAGGAAACTGTAAGCTTGACCACAAGCATTGGACATTTTCTTGCTCACACAAGTAAGCAGTCCCTAGAACTTCATGCCAATGTATTTACTGATATTAAGTTATTTTCGGAATTTAATACGACCTTCAACTTAATGCGTATAACGGCAGCTTCTCTATGTTAAAATTGTTATTATCATCGACGTTCCGTCAGTTTGGCTGTTCGGTCTAGTAGCTAGGCAATTAGAACCGATGCATTATAGTACCATTTCCACGTAGATTTGATGTGTCCATTTTCATTGACGTTAACTTGGTTACCTACCATTCTTAAGACTAATCAGTGTTTCTTTATGGTAGGAAGCACTATTAGTCTGCCTTATACAAACACTTAATTGTTTGTAGGATCAGCATCCAAGGGTTTTTTAGTATGAGAAAAGCTATACCTGGTGACTAATTAATCATCTACCCTTAGCATTTCTAAACTCTCTAGAATAAATAATCCTGTCAATGTCCGATAGAGATGAAACACTTACCAAAGCAGGAAAGTCATTGTGAAATGTGTAAACAGATTGATAATTAGGTGTGATTAAGCCACTTGCACGAACGGAACCGGGTAATAATGGATTTTTGGTACATTTTACAGAAACGTCAGTTACTTCTGTGGGTTTATGATTATCAGATTCCATTTGTCCTCCCCAAGGACGTTGAATTCGATGTGGAGAAACAATAATCCATTCATCTAATAGTGGGTTATAACGTCTATGACCAGAAGTTAGTAGATTAGTCATCTGAAATTGAGTGAACAATAGGTTAACAGAGGCTAGTTTACCACTCAAAGCAAAAAAAATGAAGAAAAATGAAGCAGAAAGATATACACTTTTATTTTGATTTGTACACATGTTAAGTATCATGTTTTTTTAATTTTGTAGTGGCAACAAGTCAAATCCTTTGAGGGGTTCTTTACCTTCAAGTTCATGTAACCAATTAATATCTTCCTTTAATTGGTGATTTAATTTCTGGATTTCAGAATCGTAAACTTTAATATCCTCCTCAATTGCTTTCCTTAATCCAACAGATGGAAACAGAAAGAACTGGTCAGATAAGCACGCCCACTGTTTATTTTCTGAATCCAATTGCATTAACTTTCGCACAGCTTCACGTGATTTTTGCCGATTCCTGTCGTAAACTATGCATTCTTGTTGCTTAGCTAATACCATTTCACCAGCTTCTTCTATTTCTTCTAAATGCTTGATCACTTTATTCTGAACTGAAAGATCCATTTCTATTATAACTGTCCTACAATAAAGTAAAATTAATAAATCAGTCAATCACAACGTACACCCGGAACGTATGTACATCAACCAGTAATTTCAAAGGACTAAAGCTTTCTGTCTAATACTATAGAGACCGGCAGAAGACCATTCACCGTGAGCTAAACCAATTGCACAGAAACTGATTTCCAACGTAGTTCTCACTTTACTACACCAACTGCATTGATAGATTATGATTCCTATGCATTGCACTGATCAGGTCAATCGCCACTAGGACTTTTGATTTATGCGTGTAACACCCAAAGCCTATTTAAATGGCTTTATGCTGCACTAAGGGTGGCTTCGTCATCATTCTTTTTCGAGACCTTAGCCCGAAAACTTACAATTTTGAGGTCCCCTTCGCCAGCGTCTAACCTAAGTTTTAGTTCTTTTCCGGCTCCTCGTCTTTTTACACGGTCTGCGCGGGGAAAGTCCTTACGGACAGAAACTCCTGACCCCTTTAGTTTATGTCCATCCTGTAGTATTAAGTACCGTTCGATGGGAGATTTGAATACTACTTTGAGAGGCCTGGTTTGATTTTGTTACCTAGTCTATACACCTTTAGCAAGGTGATTACGGAGATATCCTGAGGCATTAGCTGATTTAGCAGCTGTTTTATCAACCCAATGTCATGCTCAAGCGCAACCATATATACTAAAACGTTTGAAGGCCGCAGCCATTAGACTCATGCAAACCTCTTGGTACCATCATTGGCATTCATCGCACTGTATGCTGCTCCCAACAGAGTATCGAGAACCTGGAAATTGGCAACTGCTTTTCTTGCACTGTCCAACCACCTAACAAGGGTTTTCTAGAACAAACTAGATACAATAATACCCAGAAACAAAAGAAATTGATGACCAAAAATTGCGAACACTGCAAATGGTTAGAACCAAAAGTTTCAGCAAATACAATAGAAACAAAGTACTCAAAAGTACCGACGACAAATTACTTTAGAAAGAACGATAATCTTAAAGAATACTTTAACTGAAATAAATTCAATTCAAGTGTAAACAGTAGTCTTGATACATAATAAACGATCAAAACAATAAAATTTACTCGAAGAGGAAATATACCACTGTCCTCTTTAAATAGAGCTATTTGCAAGCGGTTATAGAATATTTAGACAAGGAATATCCTAGGTAGTACCGGAAGTACGAGGCGATATACAACTTATTAGTGATTCGGATTGGAAGCCTGACCTTGTTCATTATTAAAGAAACTGGCTTTATAACTGTTGAAGATTTGTTCACAATAATCTCCTATCTCTTCACTTGCCTGTTGTGAGTGTGCGTTTTCTACAATACAACCAAACTGTACTCATCTTGCATGTCAAAATTTGTTAAGCGCCTTCTGAAGGTCATGCGAAACGAGTAGGGTTTGTTACCATCTGCTGTCTAAACCATTCACATGTATCGACCAAAAGCTCAGGAAACTGTAAGCTTGACCACAAGCATTGGACATTTTCTTGCTCACACAAGTAAGCAGTCCCTAGAACTTCATGCCAATGTATTTACTGATATTAAGTTATTTTCGGAATTTAATACGACCTTCAACTTAATGCGTATAACGGCAGCTTCTCAATGGACAATTGCTCAAGAACCAAACGCAATGTTTGCACTTGAGAAGAAAGATGACATGCTCAAAATTGCTTATTTGACATTTTTAGGCTTTCAGACGCAACTAGACTACCTAATTATGCTTCCGTTTGGGCATCTGGGCAAAATCCCAACCCTCACAAAAAGCATTTGATTTCTGCGGAGCATCTATATTTGATGCCCCCTTGTACCAATTCTTTTGTGTGTGAAAAAATAAATAAAATGACCCAATTATTCAGAAACTACCAACTCTTGTAGGCCAACACACATTCAACAAACCATGAGTACTCTGAATACGAAATGCCCGCCTTGATTAGTTCCACTCAAGGTGATGGAGGTAGATTTGACCTGGGTTCAGCTTTTCATCAGGAGGGTCAGGACGTCAAGCCACTGATTTTCGCGCACACGTTACATGTTGTAGAGGGTATTCGATGTCATTATTTATCAGCTATTAACAGCATTTTTCTCATCACACGTCAATTTTTCTAATGCTTATGCTTGTTACACAGCTTTTATTCCAGTGTATTAGTAGTTTGGATGTGTGATTCCTTGTGTGTGAAGCATTTTCTTCTTCATGACCAGTGGAGTATAAAGTGCAGAAATCGAACAGGTCTTGAAAACACTTTTCGAAAGTTTTCTGTGTGAAAACCTCTCCACTTATACACTGTTGCAACCTGTTCTCCTTGATCCCTTCGGATGTATATCTCGCTGATCATTTGATCCTGTCTAAGATGATATTACTCATATGTTATTGAAGACACTTGTGCGCTATCCGACTACACGGTACAGTAAGAATTCAAGAAGACAGAAACACTGGGTGACCCCACTAAGAAATCCCATAGCCTGAGAGAAAGTGAAGTTAACCCTGACTTTAAAATGTCGATTTCTTAGATTTCAAATGAGCCAGTAAATTAAAGGTGATTTGATACCTAATCGTTTGGGCTTATTGATAAGATATATATGGTTGACCCTATCGAAATATTTTGAGAAGTCAAGGTAAATGACCTCAACCTTCCCTTTGTGATCAAGAATGGTTGTCCATCCGTTCACTGCAGTCAGCAACTTCACTATACAAGAATGACCCTTTCTGAAACCGTGCTGTTGAGGTGAAAAAAGTTTAAGGACAATAAATAGTCGTGTATACCGTCTCATGACGGGGTCTCCATAATTTGTGAGGGTATAAAGAGAAGTGCCACAGGTTGGTAGCTTGAAGGTTCACTGCATCGATCTCCTCTGAAACGTGGTGTGGTATGTGCCTGCTTCAAAATTTCTCATAGTGTACCTTGGCTTAGAGAGTGTGAGAACACCATGCTAAGCGGCGTTTTCAGAATTGAAGCTTCTTCCCTCGGTATAGCACAATGAACCATATCCGAACCAGGATAAATGTCTTTTCTCGGAAGCCGCTGTTTCCGGTACACCAAGTCAGCGCTCAGGTTCACTTCGGAGACTCCAGTGCAGTTGCAGATGGAGCTTTCACCAACATAGTTAATGTGAGTCGGTTGAACTGTCCGAGAGTATTGTTCAGCCAGAAGGTTAGCGGCGTTACCGTCGTTGTTGGTCGGACCATTAGGACTTAGTGATTGGGGAACCCCAGTTTTGGCTTGTAGAAGAGAAGCTGCATAACGGAATAAGCTTTTCGGATTGGAGACAAATTTATCGATGAGCTTTATCTGGTACTGAAGCCTGTTTTCTCTCATTGCATTTGTGCATACGTTTCTTATATGTTTACATTGCATGTATGCGCCGTTGCTACCAGTTCGTTTGTATTCCACCCAGCAGTGCCTTTATCGCCTAGCAAACGAACAGTGCGGTTCTTGATAACTGTGGGTTGCTTGTAGAATTTAGGGACCATTTGAGGAACATACAGTATTATAGCACATGAGATCGCGTGCAGTAAGAAATCTCACTGTACCTCCACATCAAGTTGAGGGTAAATTTCCCAACCAACCTGTTGTAGATTTTCTTGTAAAGCTGACACATTCAACCGTTTGAAATTCCAGAGCCTGTTGTTGTTGTTGGGATGTCTTAGCTCATTTTTGCTGATAAAACTGAAGGCTGTGACGGCATGATCGCTTTACTCCAGCCGAGCCAGGATTGAGAGTGTTAGGGATGCAGAGGAATATACCAATAATTATCATGTTAAGTCCAATGGTGTCCTCGGACTTTAAATGGACATTTCCTATTGGTCGATATTTGTTCACTTGTTAAATATTGTACAAAATGTTCTTTCCTATTTTATGGTACGACGTGGTATAATTGATTGGTATATAAGCAGAGTGTGTTTGAAATATAACGATTCATATCTCAGAGGTTGTGACTTGTGTTCTGGACTCAACTGGCTGGGCTAGACAGGGAGGCGGGACCAATCAGGACTCTAGGTCGTTCGTACGTGTTTACGTGCCACCGAATCGATCAATAAAACGCCGCGCATCTAACCTGCAAACCACCCGTTACAACAAAGAGGTTGTCAACTGGGAATTCTTCGTTTGTAAATGCCCAGTCTCAGCGCGACAGCTCTGACTGTTTCTCCAACGAGTTGCCCACTTCAAATTCTCCAATAATCCCAGATCCTCAATGAGATTGGAGAATCCAGCTTCAGTACAGTTTTCATCTCCAATGTACGTATGTTCCGCGAAATTGACCTTAGGAAGATGGATGTCATTAAAATCAAGACATGGGTGAATCCGAGACGAGTAGAGCGGAATAATCCTTCCAGCATACGATTGTCGTACTCGATGTCAGCAGTGGGCTTCCTGTCGATGACTCCAACTAGACACCTCGAGGTGGTAGACAATCTTACTGAGCACCATGTGGATTCATCAAGATTGATAAACTCTTGATTGTGCACTTGACGTTCCTCCAAGCAGAATCGTAAGTATAAAGCTGCTCCACCCCTAATTCCTGATTTTCTGTCATTGCCAAACAAAGACACCCCGGGTATTGCTAGCTCCTGGTCCGTAAACTGAGAAGATATCCAAGTTTCAGATATGTCTATCAGATGAGCATTATTAGCGTTTCTGAGTTCACGTAGCTCATCCATTTTATTCGGTAAACTCGCGGCGTTCATGTATAAGCAGTTTATGCTTTCAATTTGAAACGCGTGAGCTTCCCCTTCCTGTTTGTCTGTATGAGTCTCATGTGAATGGACAGGTAGCCTTACTATACAATGTTTTCCGAGTTGATAACTCCTGTTCTCTACATGGTTTCTGTGATCGAGGCAGTACACAAGTGGAATGATCAGCTCCAACTTGCCTTAGTGCTTGATCCTGGCATCATGTGGCCTATCCGGATGCATATGGATTCCAGATGGCAACCGACATCTGTGGCCACGACATGCTTCCGAAATTGCAGCCGTCAATGGGAGGATTGGAA